CCTTTTTTAAGGCTCAGGAATGTTCCATTGTGTATTATACCACAGTTTCTTCATTCATTTATCTGTTGATGGAGACTTAGGTTGTTTCCATATTTGGGCTATTGGGAATAATGCTGCAATGAACATGGGAGCACAGATACCTCTTCAGCATACTGATTTCGTTTCCTTTGGGTATATACCTGGATGAGGGACTGCTGGGTCGTATGGTAGTTCTGTTTTTAACTTTTAGAGAAACCTCTGTAGTGTTCTCCATTATGGCTGTAGCAGTTTACATTCCTCCCATCGGTGTACACGTCCTCACCAAAATTTGTTATCTCTGGTCTTTTTGATAATAGCCATCCTAACAGGTGTGATGTATCTTATTGTGGTTTTGATTTGCATTTCCCAGATGCTTAGAGATGTTGAGCAGCTTTTCATATACCCGTTGGCCATTTTTATGTCTCGTGTGGAGAAATGTCTATTTAGGTCCTTTGCCCATTTTAAAAATTAGGTTATTTGCTTTTTTGCTGTTGAGTTGTGAGAGTTTCTTATATATTTTAGATATTAATCCTTTATCAGATATATGATTTGTGAATATTTTCCCCCAGTGTATAGGCTGCCTTTTCATTTTGTTGTTTTCTTTGCTGTGCAGAAACTTTTTAGTTTTGTGTAATCCCACTTGTTTGTTTCTGCTTTTGTTGCCTGAGCTTTCGGTGTGATATCAAGAAAATCATTGTGAAGTCCAATGTCAAGGAGCTTATTCCCTATATTTTCCTCTAGGAGTTTTACAGTTTCAGGTCTTACATTTAAGTCTTTAATCCATTTCAAGTTGTTTTTTGTGCATGATGTAAGATAAGGGTGCAGTTTCATTCTTTTGAATGCAGATATCAGCTTTCCCAGCACCATTTATTCAAGAGGCCATCCTTTCCTCATGGTGTCTTCTTGGTGCCCTGTCATAAATTAGTTGACCGTACATGCTTGGATTTATTTCTGGGCTCTCTATTCTGCTCCATTGGTCTGTGTGTCTGTTTTTTTGATGGTTTTTTTTTTTTTTTTTTGCCAATTTAGAACAGATGATTTTATGTGGAGTAATTGACTGATATTAACTATAATCTCTTTGTTTCTACAGAGGTTGCAGAACTTGAAGCTAATTTACCTTGTAAGTATAGCATCCCCAGTCAAACATTAAGTACTGTAAAATAATTGCATGAAGAAAGTTTGTTTTATGTTTTAATAACATTTTCATGTACGTTAGGAATGGATTTTAATTTTGTGCAAAAGGTAGAATCTTTTAGAGGATCTAATGAGAACAGGGTTCTGTAGTCTTTCTGAATGTGCTACATTCTTTCTCTTTACATGCTTTCTGTCTCCTTAGTAGAGCAAAGGTGGGTTTGGTTAGGTTTTGTACCTCTTCCACGTGCATTCTGTCCCACATCCCCTTTGAGTGAAAAGGTATGTAAATCAATAATGGACAATCCTATTTTTGCTAGTGACAGTACCACCTTTTCGGTCCAGATAGTGCTTGTATGTAATTCGTCTTTGTGTTTAAGGCAGGGCAACTGATCTGCCTTGCAGTCGACAGGTGTCTTCACCTTGCTTGATCTTCCTGTCCTAGCCACATGGGACCCACCATACAGTCTTCACTCATGAGCATGGTACACTTGGAAAGCCTGCTTACCAGGCAATTGCTTTGTGTAATATGTATCAGATTTTCCTATTTTTCTATTATTAATGCCTTTCTAAACCCTTTATATTTCATAAAATCATCAAACTTGAAACTTTTGACCATTTTAGTATTGTTTGAATTATAACTTTTTATCATACTTTGTTTAAAAATATTTCTGAGGCTGAGAATGTCTGAAAATTTTATAAGTGGGTCTCTTGGTTTGGGTAAATGCTACAGAGATCTTAGGTTTTGATGTGGCGGCGTATCTGATGTGGGGTAAGAGAGAGCCCATTCCAGCCTCCACCTAAAGCTGCAAAGCTAATGGGCGCTATAGCCCTTAAGGGATGGTGAAGTCAGTTTGGGAGGGTAAGTACATATTGTTTCTTGAAAAATTATTTTTAATATATAGTATTTATGTTTGGGTACAGTGCATTGTGATATAAAATATGTTTCTTACTTTGAGTCTCAGTCACAAGTGTGTTGAAAAATCACTGGATTTCTTGACCTCAAATTTTCTTTGATTGAGAACTGAAGGTGATGTTTTGAGATTCTTTTAAAAGGTTATCTTTCTACCTACTCAAGTCTTTATAGATGAAATGATTTGCTTTAAAATGCTCCAAGAAAACAAACAAACAAATAAGTGTATGGGTGTGTGTAGGATAGATGAAGCAAGATTGTCTATTGAAGCTGGGTGATGGGTTTATTAGACTATTCTCTATACTTTCATGTATGTTAGTATATTTTTCTAATTAAAAAACTGAAATAAAATGATCCTTCTGCTTTTTACTCCCATCACACTTTTCTATCATACCATCTTGAACATTTTTACACATGCGGACATTTAATCAAAGACCACAAAAATGTTTTCACTTACATTGTGTTCTTGTATATGAATCTTACAGAGATTGTTGGTTTTTAAACCCATAGAGTGTAGTTTAAAAACAACAAAACTTTATGACTGACTTTCAAATCAGGATTTTAACTAGATACCTTATGTTTGAAAAAGGTGTGGTCTATCTTCCTAGCCCTGTGGCTAAGGTGCCAGATGAAAATAGAGCATGCTACATGCTTCTTCTTCATGGCTTTCTCCCACTCTGTCCTCCAGCCAAAGAGGGGGGGATCTAAACCAGTTTATACAAGTAAACCATGCTTTCCAAAAGTATGCAACTCATTATTTTAAAGAGGAAACAAGAAGACACCAATGAATAAATCTTTACTTTCTGTTTAACTATCTTCCAAAAATATTTGCAAAGGTGAACAAAATAAATTGCCATGTAGCAGTGCTGCTTAGTAATTATTCAGAACTAGTTTGGAGCTCTGTATATGCAAGTTTATAGAGGTTTCTCATTTGCAAAAAATAAAAAACGTCTCTTTCAGATAAACTGAAGTATTACTAGAGTCTTAGATAGCCCATGCCTACATAAGAAAAAAAGCTTAATTCTGGAGTTTTAGTAAAACCTCTGCACTGAACTAAAACAAAAACCTGACTTGTAACCTTTTATTTTTTAGAACTGAACCTTTCTTGATCTTTAAAATTTCTGGTTCTTTTCAGTAGTTTTATTGTTTTTTAATCTACCCTGATAATTTCTTTATTCTTGATGGGCCAGTCTATTTGAGAGGGATTGGTTTCTATGTCTGAAGTACATTAATTAAAACAAAGGAGAATTCTAGGTATTAAGAACAAATGGATGATGCCGACTTCCACCCATCCTTCTCAAGCCCTTGCCGTGTGTTTCGTTATCTCACTAAAGATAGCATTGATCTTTTCAAGTTAAGACTGGGAAAAATGAAGCCCATTATAAGTGATCCATACACAGTTCCAAATGTGTGAGTTGGGGGAACATCTTGAACTCTTTGGCCCCAATTTCTTTACTTCTAAAGAAAGGACTATGACAGTGTAATCTCTAAGACCACTTCTTGCTCTTCTAGACTTATCTTTCACTCTGAAAAAAACCCCAACAATCCTTTGTTGTTTTTTATGTGTTGTATCTCAGTGTCCCTTGTCTAACATGTTCACGAAGTACTCAAAGGAAATGAGGCATGTGGTAGGGGAAGGAGTCATGAACTAGTTATTACTTTGGGACTACCCTGCTTTCTATCATAACTTGTGATCTTGGGCTAGTCACTGAACCTCTCTGGACCTTTGTGTCATCTGCTGTAACTAAGGACTTTGGACTAGATAGTCTCTAAGGCCATTTCTGAGTCTAAATACGAATCATCCTATTTTTGATGAAAATTTATATTATTGCAAAACTAAACTATTTTCAGTGGGACTTGTAAGAAATAGCCAGTGGGTGAACTGATTAATTGAGCGTAATATTTTCTGAGTTTATAGATAATATAGAAAATTTCTGTGTATATTCCATGGATAGCTACCGTTCTTCCGTATCATTTGTTTGAAGGAGGCACACAAGGGATATCTCTTCTCTGGCCTGTACCAGCAGCCAGGAGCTCTTATCTCCGGGGAAGTTCCTTGTTCTGATCAGGCTCCTTCTGTCTTGGGACCAGTGGGCACAGAATGTGGTCATTTGGTCTGCAGAGCACCAGCAGGCAAGCTAAGTTACTAGTCAGGCTATGAAGAAGTTAACAAAGAGCACCATGGTAAACTCTGTGTGGGAGCTCACTCTTGGGTGACACACTTCTTTTTTAACTTCCATTTACTGTGGTGGGTATGAATGTCTGTGGCGTTAGGTGAACAGACTACAAGTTTGCCTCAGTTCTTTTCCTGGCTTTTCCATGTTTAGTTAGTCTTTACATACATGTATTAATCTCTCTCAGGTATGGTTTCTTCTTTTCAAAGTAAAGCAGCGTATTTCTTGAAATTAATGGAAAGATCTCTATTTTTAGTGACCATTTAAATGTTGAAGGAAAACATCTCAATTTGTAATTAACTAGTAAAAGACTATAAGGAGGGCCGGCCCGGCGGTGCACTGCTACAGTGCGCCGCTTGGGAGCGCGACGGCGCTCCCGCCGAGGGTTCGGATCCCACATACAGACCGGCCGCTCACTGGCTGAGCGAGGTGCGGGCGCGACACCGAGGGTTGCGATCCCGTTGCCGGTCCCGGTCCAGTACGGGTGCGACACTGAGGGTTGCAATCCGTTGCTGGTCACAAAAAAAGACAAAAAGGAAAAAAAAAGACTATAAGGAGAAAAACACATGGCAAAAACCAGTGTCTGGCAGTTTTAGCATATTGGCATGAGTACTACCTAGCAAATAGCAAGGGAGATCTATTGACTTGATCCATAAACCATAAAGCCCCTCCAGCACCATTAACTTTATGTGTTCTAAGGTTAGCCTCAACATAAGACTGCTGTTCACTGCCAGACTTTCCTGATGTGCTGTTTTCTTTTGCAGGTACATGTAAAGTGCACTTTCCTGATCCAAACAAGCTTCACTGCTTTCAGCTAACTGTGACCCCAGGTAATATTCTTACATACTTAAGTGTTAAAATGATTTTCAAACAGCAAATTTTAAAGGCTGTCTAAATCCATAATCTTTGGCTTTATTTGTCTATAGCTTTTTAGAAGTTAAGACATTAATAACCATTCCATGTGAAGATAAGATACAGCCTTCGTAGTCATATAAAACATAGTAAAGTGAACCTGAGGCACTCAGTGTACCCTCTAATAGCTATGTGTAAACCTGACAACTAAAGTTAGTGACCACGGAGGCTGTTGGCGTATAGTGAAGAGTGCAGGCTTTGAAGTTATAAGTGGGTTCCGATCCTGCTTCCCCACTTAGTACCAGTGTGACCTTAGTTAAGTTGCTTAACCTCTCACCGCAACTCACCTATCTACAAAGTGGGGATCAAAGGGGAGCTATCTCGTAGGACAGCTGTGAGGACTAAATAGATAGTACATGTAATGCACTTAAGCTCAGGTCTGGCATGTGGAAGCATACAGAAGATTACCAGCTGTCCTTGTTAGGACTGATAAGTCTCTAATCTCCCCATGTCCTTAGGATGGCAGCATATTCTCCTTGGTCAAACTGGGCAGCAAGAGGAAGGACTTGTGTTTTTTTCTAGTTAACTGCAGCTCCAAGGGTTGCAGATTCCACCCTGCACATCCCTGGTGTTGACGTTGGGCAGTGGGTGGCAGCCAGTCGATGCTGCTGTGGGGTAGGTGGGGAAGGAAGAAAGGAGGACAAAGGGAATTAACAAGAAGGCAGAGAGTTTTGTGGTGGAAATATAGGGTGTTATTTTATTCGGGGGATAGAAAGGAGTGAAAAACTGAGAAGAGTGAGTCATTAGCTAATTAAAAAGTGGAGGAGAATACAGAATTGCAGTAGGTGATAATGAGCCTATGAATAAGCCCTGGCCTTGTCTCTCTGTGGGTAAGATGAGTTTTTTTCTATGGAAGATGTTTTATGATAATAACATGAGAAATCCCAATTTCAAAATGTGCTTGAAACTTTTTAAAATTCCATTTTTTCCACGTGGTGTTTCTACAAAGGGCTCTGTGACATGAATATAAGTTCAGTCTGGTAGCGAGTCCTCTAAGATGAGGAGAGTACGTGGGTACAGTGAATACCAGAACACCGCTGTTAGAAATGGGGTGTTCCACTCACCTGACATCTGTAGATAAGGGAAGGACTTGAAACTAGGAAATGACCAGGACTCTAACCATCCTTTGGTTTTGCTCTTTTTTTTTTTTTTGTCTTTTGTCTTTTTTCCGTGTCCGGCAACGGATCGCAACCCTCAGTGTTGCCCCCGTACCGGACCGGGGACCGGCAACGGGATCGCAAGCCTCAGCGTTGCTCCCGCGCCTCGCTCAGCCAGTGAGCGGGAACCGGTCTGTATGTGGGATCCGAACCCTCGGGCGGGAGCGCCGCCGCGCTTCCCAAGCGGCGCACTATCCAGTGCGCCACTGGGCCGGCCCTGGTTTTGCTCTTTTTAACAAGGGGTGCTGAGAGCCCTTTAATGCTTTCTTGGTGACTCAAGGTCACCCTTATGAACTTCATTTTCTTCCCTCTGCCTTTCCAGGGCATCTTCAGTGGCTGTCAGAGAGTCTGTTGTTCTGCTCACCTCTTCCCAAGCATGGGCTTTGCGGTGCTTGGCCACTCAAAGACCTTTGCTGATTTTTCCAGGCTTGTTACTGTCATATGACTGGGTTTCTGTCAAGTCTAACCTCTGGATGTCTTTATTTTTTTCCCTTTCTTTTTGACTGAAATTTTTTACTGCATCACATGAATGTTGCGATTATTGAGCATCTTTGATGTTGTTCTTATAATTGTTCTTGAAAATGGAGCATAATTGTTAACAGTTCTGGTATTCACTGTTCCATCAGGTAAAAAAGTGTTTTGTTGCCTGTAAATACTTAATACTTTAGTGTTTATATTTGTCATAAATGCGCATCAGGGACATTATTGTCACACTGAGCTGTGTGCTCACCATGCTTTTTAGATACTGTGTATGTGCCTTTGTTTTACGGTGTCAGTGAATCAGAAGGCTCCGGTGGTTTCTGCCCTTTGTTATTAAGGGAAGTATAAGAGATATCTGCCAAACCTAACAGCTGCTTAATATCATGGTTTTAAAAAACTTTTTGGAGTTGTGCCCCTCTTAGTATTGAAAAAAAATAGAGAGCAATGCCTAAGTAGTGAAGTTTTAACTATGTGTGAAGCAAATGGTTTTGAAACTGGCTCATTTATAGCCAGTAATCTCAGGGCTAGGTCTGAAAACTCATTAAAGCATATGGTCCAGATGATTTTCAGCCCAGCACGGTCCTTTTTCTGGCTCCTCTTCACACTTAGTAGCATTTTCATAGTTTTGTTTGTTTTTAGAATGGTTGCTTATGCTTGGCAATAAATATACTCTCAGAGGAAAAAATGGGAATGTAATTTGTTGATAGGGGAAAAGAAGAGGACTGAATTTAGAAAAACACTTCACATCAGCTCACAAAACAAGAAAAAGTAAGTAAAATGAAACTAAACAAAACAAAAACCTAAAGACTGAAATAGCCTGCGGAGTCTTCTGTGAAGTTAGTGGGACAGTTTGAAACACGGGGCTAGTTCAGTGAGTGGCCTGGCTGACTTTTGGAGGTCACCCGAGCCTGCCCTCCTGTGGTGGTGCTTGTGGTTCCAGGCCAAAGTGACCATTGACTTAAATAAAAACTATTTTTTTGAATTTTAACTTTTATGATTTAAATCGGTTTTACTGAAGTATAAAACTGCAAAAAATAAAATGTACTAATTTGAACTGTACAACCTTAGCAGTTTTGAAAATGTGTACACCTGTGTATACAAAACCCCAGTAAAGAGGAAAAACATTTCCATCACTCCCAAAGTTCTCTTCTGCCTCTTTGTAGCCAATTTCTTGCCCCCCCCCAAAAAAAAAAATTCCTTTCTGATTTCTGTTACTATAACTTAATTTTACTTTCTTGAATTTCATATAAATGGAATCTTATATATGTACTCTTTGTCTCTGGCTTCTTTCACTTAACATAGTTTTTAATTCACACATACTGTGTGTATCAGTAGTTTGTTCCTTGTGTCAATGTGCCATAATTTATTTATTTTTCTATTGATGGACATTTGGATTGCTTTAAGCTTTTGGCTATTATGAATAAGACTGCTATGAGCATTCTCAAACAAGTTTTTTATGCTCATATTTTTCCTTTCTCTTCAGTTCCATCTAAGAGTGGAACTTCTGAGTCATAGGAAAGATACATGTCTAACTTTTCAAGAAACTTTTCCAGTGTGGTTGTACACTGACCAGCAATGAATGAGAATTTTCAGTTGTTCTACATACTTATCAACATTTGGGTGCGAAGGTATCTCATTGTGGTTTTAATTTGCATTTCCCAGTGGCAGATTATGTTGAGTATCTTTTCTGTATTTATTGGCCAGTTGTATATCTTCTTTTGTGAAATGCCCAAGTCCTTTGCCCATTTTAAAATCTTTTTTTTTTTTTTTTGTCTTTTTTGAGACCGGCCGCACCGCGCTCAGCCAGTGAGCACACCGGCCATCCCTATATAGGATCCGAACCCAGCGCTCCCAGCGCCGCACTCTCCCGAGTGCGCCACAGGCTCGGCCCTAAAATCTTTTTGTTATTTGGTGTAGATGGTCTGAATACAAATCCTCTGTCAGATACATGAGCTGTGAATATTTTTTCCCATTCTGTGAATTTTCTACTCATTTTTTTAATCCTGTCTTTTGTTGGTGAAAATTTTAATGATATAAAATTTAACAAATTCTTTTATGGTTTGTGCTTTGTGTCCTATCTCAGAAATTTTTGCTTACCCCAAGGTTGCAAATGTATTATCCTATATTTTTATCTATAAGCTTTGTGATTCTAGGTTTTATGTTAAGGTTCATGATCCATCTTGAATTGATTTTTGTATGCAGAGTAAGATAGAGGTTGAGTTTATTTGTCTATGAAGATAACCAGCTGTTCAACAACGTTCGTTAAAAAGGCTTTCCTTTCTTCATTGAATTACCTCAATACATTGGTCAAAAATCATTGAGTGTACATGTGTAGGTCTGTTTCTTGAACTCTATTCTTTTCCATTGGTCTCTGTGTTTACCCTTAGGCCAATACCACACTGTTTTAATTATTGTAGCTTTATATATGGCTTATTTTGAAATAGAGTAAGTAGGGTAAATATTCCAATTTTATTCTTTTTAAAAATTGTTTTAGCAAGTCCAGGTTCATTGAATTTCCATTTAAATTTTTAAACCACTCTATAAATTAAATGTTTACAAAAGAGGCTGCTGGGATTTTGATTGAGATAATGTTGATTAGATCCATTGAGGTAGGGATGACATCTTAATATTGAGTCTTCCAGTCCATGAGCATGGTGTCTCTGTTTATTTAGATCTTTAATTTCTCAGCAGCATTTTGCAGTTTTCAGTGTGTAGGTCTTATAAATACATGTACTTTGTTAAATATATTGCTAAGTATTTCATGTTTTTTGAAGCTATTATAAATCGTGTTTTTTAAATTTCAATTTTTAATTGTTACTCTTATGTAAAAATACAATTAATCTTTAAATATATTGATCATGTGTCCTGTGATCTTACTAAATTCACTTATTAATTCTAGTAGCTTTTTAATGTATCCTTAGGAGTCTATGTCTATGATCATTGCATCTGTAAATAAAGACATTTTACTTCTTTCTTACCAGTATGTGTGCTTTTTATTTCTTTTTCTTATTGCACTGGCTGTTACCTCTAGAACAATGCTGAGCAGAAGTAGTGAGAGCGTACATCTGTCTTGTTCCTGGTCCTGAGGGCAAAGTGTTCACTATTCATTAAATATGATATTAGCTGTAGGTTTTTTTATATATATATTCTTTATCAGGTTGAAGAGTTTCCTTCTTTTCCTGGTTTGCTGAGAGTTTTTATCATGAATGTGTGTTAAATTTTTTCTACATCAATTGAGATGATCATATGGTTTTTCTCCTTTATTTTATATATATGGTGAA